CAAAATCAAATTAACAACCATTTTATTCTAAAAAAACGAAATGAATGTAACTGATATAAGAATATTTTTTTATTCCCATACAGGAGACGCCAACAATAATAAACTAACCAATATTTATCGAATTTTATGACTGTCAATTGACGGCCAAGGTTCTATCAATCCCTATTCAAGTTTCAGTGGCTATCAAATAATAGCCAATGTTTTGTCAGCCAGTACTGGGCTAAATATAAAATTTTCTCTGAATTTGAAGCATGCAACATGAACCAATCTCACAAGTCACAGGAGTAAGAAAATCATTCTTAAGAAATGTGACAATCGGACAACGTCCAAATCACGTTGAAACTACCAGTTCTCGTCTGATCACTGAAGTCAAGCAACGTTGAGCACGGTTAGTACTTGGATGGGATACCGCTTAGGAACACCGTGTGATGTTGCCTCTCAATTTTTTTATTTTTTGTCAATCATCAAAATCAAATTAATAAACATTTTGTTCTAAGAAAACGAAATGAATGTACTGATTTAAGAATATTTTTTTTTATTCCCATACAGGAGACTCCAACAATAATAAACAAACCAATATTTAGCGAATTTTATGACTTTCAATTGACGGCCAAGGTTCTGTCAATCACTGTTGAAGTTTCACTGGCTATCAAATAACAGCCAATGTTCTGTCAGCCAGTACTGGGTTAAATATAAAATTTTCTCTGAATGTGAAGCATGCAACATGAACATATCTCACAAGTCACAAAAGAAAGAAAACCATTCTTAAAAAATCTATATATTTATATATGCGATCTATATATATATATATACGAAATCTATATATGTATATATATATACGAAGATTTATAATACAATTTATAATTTTTAACAGAAAAATAAAGTTGTTAATTGAATATGTGTGCCTTTTATGATTTATTTGCCAACTAATTACTCAAAAATAAATAATATAAAATAATATAGATGCAATATAGATTCTCCTTATTTAAAATCCTGGCTACACATGTAATTAAATTTTTAGATACTTCAACAAAATCATTCTTTCCTTCTTTGAAAGATTGAATAACTTATAATTCACAATCTTCATAAATATATATTTTATGTAACATATATAATAATAATTTTTATAAATATTGCAAAATATTAGAAATACACAGATTGTTATTCTCAAAAATTATTAACAGTAATCATTTTTTTTTATTTAAGTTTATTTATATTGATTAATTAAATGAAATCTTATTTTTCTGCATAAAATGTTTAAATTTATTATAAGCTAGATTTTTATGATATTAATTATAATATTTTTCAAAATAGCAAGTCATCTCGCATAAGGATATCCAAGAACATCCCACTTGTATCAGATAACAGAAGCTCGTTAAATTATCTAGATCTAACGACTGCGTGCAAAATTATTTTTCGTTGCAATAAGGTAAGATGATTCTAGGCAGTATAAAACACAAGAAGTATAGCCGAGGTAATAATAAAACTGGTATTTGCAAAAGCTTATCCTTTCTTGTCGTAGTTAAATATATTTATATCATGTTTTAAATTAGAGTATTAGAGATCGTATGTGTTACAATTTAAAGTATTATCAAAAATATAAAAATGTCATAGATTGTTCTATTATTATGTTTGCATACCTGTATAAGATTTAAGCCCAAATCTTTTATTGATTTAAAAATTATTTTTTTATTTTCCTTAATTTTTATATTATTTAATAATGCTACTTTATCAAATTTGCAAATAAATATTACAAAATGCGATTTAATATAATTACTATAAGTAATTTTTAATGCCACTTCTAAAGATTAGAAAAAAACAAAGAATAAATTGAACCGAGATTAAAGTTAATTTACGTTGATAGAAATGAGCATAAATGGATCCAAATTAACTTTCGCACGAATTTATTCATCGAAGTTTTATTAGTATACATAAAAAATTTAATTAATAATGATTATTAAATTTTTTGTATATTCTAATGAAACTCCAATAAATATTCGTGCAAAAATTCATTTGGATCCATTAAAGTTGTTTACAGTTACAATCGTTCTAAAAGTAGTACTATAGTAACTATAAAAGTATAATATAGTTCTATAATAACTATAATAATTATAAAAGTTACAATTATTAAACTTCTTGCGCCTAAAAATAATTTACGTCGACATACGATAATTTATAATCGGCGTCATTTTTTACATATATTGTGTAAAATAACTATGTAAAATAACAATTAGTTTACCCTCTTCTCGCGTTTTTATATTTATTAAAGCTTAAAGAAATAAGTCGTGAATTTTTGCCCCATTAAAAAGTGGGTCACGATTTACATAAATTTGGAAAACCCTGTTTTACAGTAATATTTTCCTCTGCTTTATATAGAAATATTCCAATCGAAATATATTGTATAACCGTAAATTTATTGTTAGAAGAGTTTAATAGAGAAGATTCTCTATATGATAAGTTCGTATAATTGCAATAGACGGCAACACGAATTATATGAAAATGTACAACGTTTCGCATTAAGATAACGCACTGAAATACACTCGTGAAGAGAAGAAAACACTTTAAGCACGCATTTGCTCTGTTAACAAGTTTATCAGATGATGTTATTATTTTGCAAACAAGGAACATATCATGATAAGTTGTTTAAAGGAAATTAAAAAAAGATTGCATTATCGTTTATTCAAAACAGAGAGAGAGAGAGAAAGAGAGAGAGAGAGAGAGAGAGGGAGAGAGAGAGAGAGAGAGAGAGAGAAAGAGAGAGAGAGAGAGAATCGTTTTATTGAAGATATATTTTTTTCAAGCACTGAGATACATAGTTATGTAATAAAAATTTTGAACAATGAATTAATGTGACGGTGAAAAGCTGGAATAAAAAGCTGAACTAAATAAGTATATAGATAAATAAAAAATACAAAAAATTTAAAATAAATAAAAATAAGAATATAAATATAAAAAAGAAAGTGACAATCACACATATATGTCTCTGTATGCATTTGTAGAAAGAAACTAGAGAGAAAGAGGGAGAATAAAAAAGATATATATACATATATATATTTAAGAAAAATTTACATAAATTATTCTCGTTCCAAAAGATTCTTTACCACATTTTCTTCACCGGTTACCATTCGTCGCACATAACAATTTGTGAAAGTATTATGAAAATTATAGTCCTTATCGCACTCGATCGAATAAACGCTATTAATTCAAGCTTTGCCTATTAAACAAAATGCACAGATTTGCAACTGAATTAACTGTATTTAATTAGCAATAAATATCGAATAAATTGGAAATAGTTGACGAATAGGACCGGTCTTTGGTGGTGTTCGATGCAAATGATATTCTATCCCGTTTTTTCTTCTGTCTTCCTCGAATCATGTGAACGTTATTTCGTATCTTTTCGACTTTTTTATTCTCCCGCTATCTCGATGAGGTCCCGAGTTCACTTACGCATAACCAGTTAATTCCAGTATACCAGCATATTCCCCTCTTTTCTCACATTCAGCTGACACGTTATTGCCGACAAGACTATTTTCATTTAATAAAACGTTTTCGTACTTACATGTCGATCGCAGCTGAACTCCGATATTGACAAGTTCCGCTGCAAAGTTAAGATTATGTACGAAATACATTTGATTCATCGTCTGAAATGCGATATACAATTCGTATTCTTCTTTTTATTCAAACTTCCAAAAAATATCTCGAAGCGAACGATATCGCATTAAATAAATTATAAATAATATGAATATTATACTTTAACAGAATATTAAATAGGCTCGAAAAGAGAGAGGGAAAGATTCTTTCCCGTCATTTGAAAAATACATAAGTATTGCATAAAGCAGGGTTATCGAAAAGTGATATTTTATGAAACATTTCGTATTGCATATCAATCATAGCGTATTTATATAATATATAAGTATCTCACAAGGTATCTCTCTTTTCTTTCGTCTCTCCTTCTCTCCTTTCAATGACCTCACTTTAATTTATGGATATAAATCTATTTTAACGATTAAAATAATAAACCGATATTAAGCAACATAATGTTTCGCTCTTTTATATGGAAAGGCCGATTTTGCTGAAATATTTAAAGATATAGATGTAGAAAATAATTCTGTTAGACTATTGAAATAATTACGTAGGAATCTCAAGTAATGTTGTGAATAGTTTTGATGTTCTAATTTGAATATTCTATATTTATTTTAATAGTTCAACAAAATAATTTTCAGATTTATATGCAAAAGATATTTTATATTTTGCGGCGTTTAATAAATTCCATATTTAATGACGTAAATGTATGGTTTTCTAAGATTAAATGCAGGAGGATCAATCATTCACGGATGAAGTTCGAAATGGCGTTTTATAACGTGGTATGCTCAATATCTATATCAGTCTTGTGCTATAATCACGAGAGGGAAGGAACCAGGATTTCTCAAACGGAAAGAGATCTCCCATGAGAAACTTTCAGGAATTACAAACGTAAGATACCACAAATAAGACTCACAGCATAAGAAACGCAAAACATTTGGTAATATTGATGGTGTAGATCGAGTGAAACTCTCAGCAGACTAGGAACTTAATCCTTATAAAATGTTCTGTTAATATCTTTTATCTGATATTTACTTTTTCTGCAGAAGAAAATGTATATATATTATGTATTTCATTTTTATATATTTTCACATATCATTTATAATTTTAAGTATTACTTCTCTCTTAAGAACGTTTACATATTTAGCTCTTAAGTCTACCTTTTCGAAATTTTCATGAAAAGAAAAAAATGCGGAATAAAGTTTTTTCATGTGACATTGGTAGGATAGCTTTAAAATTAAAAAATTTGTATGCCTTACTGCTTTATTTTTATTTCCATACTGTACATTTTTGCTCTATAAAAAGAGTTAAATCTAAATCGAAATAATATAAGCTGTTGATTCCATAGACTATGTGAATTCATAGTATTTAAAGTGCAATTTGCTCTGCCAATAAGATAACCATTTAGTCAATGTTTGTGCATACTAGCATTTCTGAAAAGATGTGCTTCATAGCTCGACTGAAAAAATATAAATTTCATATCATTCATTTGCTACAATAATACAATAATACAAAAATTAGTTGTTTTGGAATTACCGGAAAAGAATAGAAACATGAAAAAAAAAACTTAAAAAAATATATATTTTTATTCTTCTACAATTTGGTTATTAAATTATATTTCAAAATATTTCACTAAAATTATTCAACATCAATATTTCAAATTAACATATGAAAAAAACAATTTCGCCGAAACATAAAAATTTCAGATATAGATCTAAAAACAATTTTGTCAAATCAAAATAATTATGTAAAAATCTCAAGTACAATGAACAATATTACAAAAAGTTTTGACATCCTAGCAACCATTATAATTTAAGCGTCCTGCATAATTATTTTGATGGTCCAATAAAATTATATTCGATATTCAAACAGGCAAATGAGAGTAAATAAAAGCGACGCGATAATTAGTGTATTATGACATAGCAAAACATATTTAAAGCATCTCTATGACTGACAAATTTATGAGTTTTGTATTTTTGTGCATTTAATTTTTTTCTAGAATCTGAACGAATTTATATATCATATTATTATTATTATTAATCATTTCGTCTTGTTGCAATATCAAATATTATTTTTTATTCGTTTTTTTCTCTTTTTCCCTTTGTTTCTTTCTTTCTCTCTCCCCTAAAACTA